AAAAGCCAAAGTGGTCCCAGTGGTGGAAGGAGCACCTGGGGTTGTGACTCCTAAGCTGGGAGAGTGGCTCCAACAGATCCCAGGAACAACATCAAAGCTCTCTGTCCAGAAGAGTGCAGTGCAAGGAACAGCTGAGATACTGCACAGAACCCTCAAACTCCCAGGCCTCTGGTAAAGGACCTGAGATTGAGGAAGACATGTACCATCCACAGGGGTGAGAGGGGATGGATGGATGGATGGATGGTTCTGTGTTAGTATACTGGATATGCATGAGTTGTGTTTTTCTACTAAAAATAAATATTATCATTTTAAAGTGATTTTGGGATATCAAATGTTTTTCTTGGCATAACTGCACTTTTTTACTTTAGAAATTCAATGCCATAGAAATGGCAATGTTTATCATCTACTTTAATATTTCTGTTTGGAATTCTGGCAAAGGCTAAATCAGGAATCCCTTGCGCAGCTCAAGCCAGCCTTCCTGATCTGCGGGTCTCCAAATATGTTGTGCTACAACCCCATCATTCTTAAATAGTGTGACAAAATGGCTGAGAAATTAGATGAAAGATACTCTGGGACAAGAGAAGAGTGCCAGGCTGGGAAAGCAAGCCATATTGCATGGGAAACGCAACTCTCTGTATTTCCCTGAAAAAAATTATCACCATTATATGTGGGTCTACACCAGTTATTCTTCACCACTCAAGAAGGAACCTTTTTACCTTTTTAATACCATGCTTGTGAAATGGAAACCAGAATTCTTAAGTCAGTATTGCATACTATACATTGTATAAGTCATCGTGTTGCGGCCATCAACCTAAGGCCCAAAAGTCACTCCTGCCCCTCTGTATACCTCAAACAGTCTTCTTAAAATGCTGCATTTGTATTGTTTGCAAAGAGCTTTTCATGAACATCTTCTAAGATTTAGAACCACATTTATCTGCTCCAGGCTGCTTAGGAAATAAACTTTGGACTTTGGTACGTAGAATGACATGTTTGCCTGGCATCTTGAAAATAATGGCATATTGATTTCCCCTATGAGACACATCAGTCTATTTGTTTTGGAAATTTTCAGGTAGCTACTTCATTTTCCGTGAGCGTGTTTTCCTCCTGCACACCAATCTGGGAAAAGTACTTTGCAAGGGTGAAAGAGAGAGAGAGAGAGAGAATGCGAGCTTAACTGCAAACTAGGAGCTCGATACCGTATGTCCAGTGCAATACTCACGGCAGTTGAAAAACCATAGGACCTTTTTGACTAGCAGGCATTATAAAGCTCTGTCTGGGTTATTAAAGTAATGTCACTGTGAGCAGCTTTAAAAGATCTGGACAAATCAAACCTGATTATTATAACTGTCACATCAAGACGTAATTTAGAAAGTAGGTTTGCTTATTAAGATTAAAATACATATATACTGTATATATATATATATATACATTTGTTTTTAATACAGATTTCGTAAACACCCAGACAACTTAAGAGCCAGAGAATCAAATCAGCTTTGTGGAGGTAGGGGGACACCTTTCTTCTAATAACTCCTTTTCACAAGACTTTATATACATGGTAAAATTGTTTATTAGTTCAGCATCCAAGTAACTGCATTTTTAAAATAATAGAAATATATCTGCACTCTCAAGCCTTCATTGGAGGTTTTTCTCTGAGAGTTCCCACTAAAATGTTATATAGCTAATTGGCTGCATATGAACCAACCTTTTCTGCAATGCCCTATAGGAGGTGCATATGTTAAAGGGTGACTGTAAGTCAGTAAAACTGTAGAGCACATATTTATCAGTTTTTAATGACTATAATTTTATTTAAATTAAAATAACACTTAATATGTTTTATTAGGGTTATAATATACAATATATATAATATAACCCTACTCTAATTGTTGAAAAAATTTTGTACAAGAGGAGTGGAAAAATATAATTAGCTGATCATTACAGATGCCTTTAGATTGTCCAGCATCCATACCACCACCACCCTCAAGTTCAGCAACCTGGCTCCCAAGTTTAGCAATTTACCCCAGTTTCAGCTTTAAATTCAGTAAGTATTAAAGTTTTATTTTCCTACTTCAGCCTGCTCAACTGATCTTATTTGTAAGTCTTTGTTCAAACAAGGAATACTAAGGAAGGTAGCAGTTCAAAATGACGCTGAAAGTTGCCAGCCAGAAATGGTCGATGCTTCAGCAGTTCGAGTCCAGCCTTCGCGTTAGCAGGGTGAGCTCCTGTTT